AGGTCGCTGACTTCTTCCGATTCTTCGCCGAACATCTCATAGCGCGCATCCAGCAGGCGCAACGTGTTGTCAGCGCGCTCGACAAACGTGCCCAGGCGGATGAAGCGATAGGCATCGTTGCGCATAATGGTGCCCGAGGTTGCCCCGCGAAACAGGTGCGACCGCTGCTTGACCCAGTCACAGAAGTGGCTGATGCCGTGTCGGCCCAGGCCGCCGGCGGCGATGCTGCGCATTTCCAGCCAGGTGGCGTTGAGGTTCTCCCACATATCGGCGGTGATACGTCCGCGTACCGCATGGGCGTTGCCCCGCGCGGCACGCAGGCAGTTATAGATGCTGGCGGGGTTTTCTTCGTCAAGGGCGAAGAAGTGCAGCATGCGCTCGGCGTCCAGTTGGGTGTGACGTTCCAGATAGCTGTCTAAGGTGCCGCTGCTGAGCAACGACATGGCCAGTTCGTCCAAGCCGTCGCTGCGCCCGGCCTGGGGCATCAGCGACAGCGAATAACTGACTTCGAGCATGCGCGCCAGGTTTTCGGCGCGCTCCAGGTAGCGGGACATCCAATACAGGTCTGCGGCGGTTCTACTCAGCATGATTCAGTCCTCCACCACCCAGGTGTCCTTGGTTCCGCCGCCTTGCGACGAGTTGACGATCAGCGAGCCTTCCTTGAGGGCCACCCGCGTGAGCCCGCCCGGTACCAGGCGGGTCTCCTTGCCCGACAGCACGAACGGGCGCAGGTCGATATGCCGCGGCGCGATGCCGTTTTCCACAAAGGTCGGGCAGGTCGACAGGCTCAGGGTCGGTTGAGCGATGTAGGCGTGGGGGCGGGCCTTGATGCGCTGGCGGAAGTCTTCGATTTCGGCGGCGCTGGATGCCGGGCCGACCAGCATGCCGTAGCCGCCTGAGCCCTGGGTTTCCTTGACCACCAGTTGCTCAAGGTTGGCCAGCACGTGAGACAGTTCCGCCGGTTTGCGGCACTGAAAGGTCGGCACGTTCTGTAGCACCGGTTCTTCATTCAGGTAGAAACGGATCATGTCCGGCACATAGGGGTAGATCGACTTGTCGTCGGCCACCCCGGTGCCGATGGCGTTGGCCAGTACCACGTTGCCGGCGCAATAGGCGGCCACCAGGCCAGGCACGCCGAGCATGGATTCGGGGTTGAACGCCTGCGGATCGAGGAACGCATCGTCGATACGGCGGTAGATCACATCCACCGCCTTGGGCCCGTCGGTGGTGCGCATGAACACTTTCAGGTCGTGCACGAACAGGTCGGCGCCTTCCACCAGTTCCACGCCCATTTCCCGGGCCAGGAAGGCATGCTCGAAGAATGCGCTGTTGAAGCGGCCTGGGGTCAGCACCACCACGTTGGGGTTGTCCAGGCGGCTGGAACTCTTGAGGGTCTTGAGCAGCAGGTTGGGGTAGTGATCCACCGGCGCGATGCGCTGCCGGGCGAACACCTCTGGGAACAGGCGCATCATCATTTTGCGGTCTTCGAGCATGTAGCTCACGCCGCTGGGGGTACGCAGGTTGTCTTCAAGCACGTAATAAGTGCCGTCGCCATCGCGCACCAGGTCGACGCCGGAGATATGCGAGTAGATATCGCGGTGCAGGTCCAGCCCGACCATCGCTTTCTGGTAACCCTCGTTGCCCAGCACTTGATCCGCCGGAATGATCCCGGCCTTGATGATGCGTTGATCGTGATAGATGTCGGCGAGGAACAGGTTCAGCGCATTGACCCGCTGGATACACCCGCGCTCGATCACGCGCCATTCGCTGGCAGGGATGCTGCGGGGGATGATGTCGAAAGGGATCAGGCGCTCGGTGTCCTGTTCGTCGCCATACAGGGTGAAGGTGATTCCGGCGCGGTGAAACAGCAGATCGGCTTCACGACGACGCTGGGCCAGCAGTTCCGGCGGCGTATTGGCCAGCCAGCGGGAGAAATCCTGATAATGCGCACGGCACACGCCGTTTGCGTCATTCATCTCATCAAAGAAAGATCGAGCCATTCCGGTACCTTGTCAGTGCCTTGGGATGCGCGAGCGGCACTGCCGTTTGAACAACGCATGTTTTTATGAGCCCGTGGCGCGAGGTGCCAGCGGGCCTGGTCCTTACTTTCTCAGGATGTCGGCTCTGGGTCGGGGGGTAACGAATGCTCCTGTTTCCAAACAGATGAATCCATAAAGCAATGCCTGTGCCGAAACCCCACCTTCCAACACATCCGCCCGCGTAGTGAGCGAGCCTGCTCGCGCCAGGCTGCGCAGCGGCGCTCCGCCAGCCACCCAGAAAGGTGCACCCCACCTTCAACAAACACGCCGCGCACCAACCCGGTGCACAACAAACTTGAACTCCCCACACGGCCTGTTCCTCTAACGGGGTCTATACACCCCGTGGACCATCCCCGTGCCCAGAATCATCTCCCCCCACACTCCGGAAGCGGCGCTGAACGACCACAGCGAACACAACGCAAAGATCTTCGGTTCGCCCAAGGACCGCCTGGACTTCTATCGCCGCGAGATCCAGTACGAAACCTCCATCCTGGCCAACCGCACCGACGCTTACCTCACCGCCCAATCGTTCCTGGTGATCGCCTTCGTATCAGGCATGGGTAACCTCAACCCAGAGTGGGGCAAGCTGTTTACCCTGATCGTGCCGCTGTTCCTGGCACTGCTGGGCATTCTCAGCTCGCTCAACGCCTGGCCGGGCATCCGCGCGGCGTATGACATCATTGATCACTGGCACTTCAAGCAGAGCCAACTGCTGCACAGCGAACCGGTGATGGGCCTGGCCTATGACGAGTCGCCGCTGTTTTCCGAGCGCGAGTCGTCCCACAAGGGCTATCGCAAGTCCCTGCTGTTTTCCGTGCGCACGCCGTGGATTTTCATGGTGTTCTGGATTCTGCTGGGGGCTTATGCGTTCTATATCCAGGTCGACAACCCAGGCGGTTAAGCAATCCGGCGGAACTTCGGGGCAGGGCGCAGCACCTTATGTCTATGCAGGCTGTATTTACCCAATCACTGTACAGAGGTGAAACATGAGCACTAGCAACGATCCCCAAGTCAGCGACCGTAACGACCCCGCCATCGACGGTGGCGAGCCGGCACCCGGCACCGCCGCCGATGCCCCTAAGGACCCCAAGCCTGCCGCCGACCCTAAGGCCAAGGACAACGACTACAGCCCCGACTTCAAGCCCGAGCGCGAGCCCAAGCCTGAAACCGACGCCGACATCGACACCCAGGGCGGCTAGTTAGAGGAGACGGTCATGGCTCATCAACCGGATGAAGAACTCAACGACCCAGGTAACGAAGACCCCGGTTCATTGATGGATGACGCCGAGGTGCCGCTGATCGAAGCGGATGAAGAGGGCGCTGATGGCGACATCGGGCATCTCTGACTTCTCATTCACTTCAAACGCCTCCTTAACAGGGGTTCCAGCGTGTCCACCGGCAACGGCCGGCTGAACAGATACCCCTGGAGCTGATCGCAACCGGCCTCTTTCAAAAATGCCCACTGCGCCTGGGTTTCGACGCCTTCGGCCACCGCCAGTAAGCCCAGGCTGTGGGCCAGTTGGATGACGGTCCGAGCAATCGCGGCGTCCTGGGGGTTACTGGTTACTTCGCGGATAAAGGCAATGTCGATTTTCAGCGTGTCGATGGGAAAGCGCCGTAGGTAGGCCAGGCTGGAATAGCCGGTTCCGAAGTCGTCGATAGCGATTTTCACGCCCATGGCACGCAAGCGTTGCAGGCTGACGATGCTGTGCGCGGTGTTCTCCATCAGTGTGCCTTCGGTGATTTCCAACTCCAGCCAATGGGCGGCAACCCCGGTGCCGGCCAGTATGTCGGCTATCTCTGCGATCATATCGCCCTCGATCAATTGATGGCCGGAGACGTTCACCGACACCTCCACCGCGCCGATATCGCAACGCTGCCAGGCCGCTATCTGTCGGCAGACAGTCTCGATCACCCAATGCCCGACTTGGCCAATCAGGCCGAGGCTTTCCAGCATCGGCACGAACACCGCCGGGGACACCGGCCCATAGTCGGGCCGGTCCCAACGCAGCAGGGCCTCAAGGGCACAGACTTCACCGCTGCCCACGTGCACTTTGGGTTGGTAATGCAAGGCGAACGCCTGGCGCTGCACCGTTTGGCGCAAGGCGTTTTCCAGGTCCTGGCGCACCGGGTCGTAGTCGTAGACGTTCGAGCGTGCGGTTTGATCGTGGTGCCGTTGCAGGCGTTGTTCGAGCATCGCGCTGTGCTGTTTCAACTGGTCGCCATGGGCTTTGAGCCGCAGCAGGTTGCGCACCCGCAGCCACAGCTCGACACGATCCACCGGTTTGCTGATGAACTCCTCTGCGCCGGTCTCCAGACCGCTGAGGCGCGCACTCGATTCACTCAAGGCCGAGAGCATGATGATCGGTATGGTCGCGGTGGCTGGGTTGCCCTTGAGCTGGTTAGCCACTTCGTAACCGTCCATGCCGGGCATCATGATGTCCAGCAGGATCAGGTCCGGCGGCTGCTCGGCCACCCTAAGCAGGGCTTCCTCGCCGGTGCCCGCGCTCAGGGTCTGGTAGCCCTCGTGCTGCAGCAGGGTTTCCAGCAACTTGCGAACCTGGGGTTCGTCGTCAACGATCAACAGCGTGGCGGGTGAGCTGGCCATGGAGAGGACTCATACGAGTGGTGTGGGGGGCGGGTGGAGCAGCGTTTCAATGACCTGGTACAGCGCCTTATAGCGCAGAGGCTTGATCACATAGGCGTCGCACCCGGCCAGGCGGGTTTTTTCGCGGTCTTCCTTCATGGCCATGGCGGTGAGCGCGATGACCGGGATATGCGCGGTCAGGGCGTCCTGCTTGAGCACGCGGGTGGCGGCCAGGCCGTCCATGCCCGGTAACTGAATGTCCATCAGGATCAGCGCCGGCTGTTGCGCGCGGGCCAGGGTCAGGCCGGACTCGGCGTCGGCGGCCCATACCACGCTGTGGCCGGCACTGACCAACAGCAAACGGGCCAGGCGCATATTGGCTTCGTTGTCTTCGATGATCAGGATATGGGCCATGGTGCCTCCGTCGTCCGATGCAGCGGCAACCACACCACGAAGCGCGTACCCAAACCTTCGCGACTGGCCACCGCGACACTGCCGCCATGCAGCTCAGTCAGTTGCTTGACCATGGCCAGGCCCAGCCCGGTGCCTTCGAATTTGCGCGCCAGGCTACTGTCGATCTGGCTGAAGGCCTTGAACAATTTGCCCATGTCCTCTTCCGCGATGCCGATACCGGTGTCGCTGACGCTCAGCTCCAGGAAGGTGCGGTGCGCGCCGGTCTGCAAGGTATCAGCGTGGCTGGGCCAGTCGCCGGGAATCAGACCGACCTGTTCGCGAGGGGCTTCACGAACCGCCAGGGTCACGCAACTGCCGTGCTCGCTGAACTTCACCGCGTTGGCCAGCAGGTTGTAGACGATCTGTTTGGTCTTGCGCAGATCCAGCACCAGTGTGCCGAGGTCCACCGGGCTATCGAGCTTGAGCTGGATGCGTTGCAACGCGGCCTTTTCGCGCACGATCAACAAGCTATTGGCCAATACATCGGCCAGCGCCACGGGCTCCAGCTCCAGGTCCATCATCCCGGCTTCGACCTTGGACAGGTCGAGGATGTCGTTGATCAGCGACAACAGGTGCTGGCCGCTGGTGAAAATGTCGCCGATGTATTCGCGCTGGGTGTCGCTCATTTCGCCGACCAGCCCATCCTTGAGCGCCTCGGAAAAGCCGATCACCGCGTTTAATGGGGTGCGCAGTTCGTGGGACATGGTCGCCAGGAACTCGGATTTCATGTGGCTGGCGTGCTCCAGCTCCAGGTTTTTGTCTGCCAGGGCGCGTTCGAAGTCTTTGCGTTCGGCCTCAACCTGCTTGCGCGCAGTGTTGTCGGTGCCGATAAGCAGGTAGCCGATGAGCGTGTCGCTGCGGTTGCGCAGTGCGGTTACCGAGACCATCGCAGACAAGCGGCTACCGTCCTGGCGGATATAGGTCAGCTCGTAAATATCCTCAATGCCGCGCGAGGCTTTAAACACCAAGGCTTCGAAACCCGGCGTGATCGGCGTGTCGAGTTCCAGGCTGAGGGCGGCGGCGCGGGTGATCAGTTCGGCGGGATCGGAAATATCGGCGGGAGTGACGCGGTTGACCACATCGGCGGCGGCGTAGCCCAGCATGCGTTCGGCGCCGACGTTGAAGATCTGGATCACACCCTTTTCGTCAGTGGCGATGCTGGAGAAGTGCGCGCTATTGAAAATGGCGTCTTGCAGCGCGCCGGTCTTGATCAGGCTTTTCTGGCGTTTGAATTCGTCGATCTTGGCCGCGCGTGACTGCAGGTCGGGCGGGCTGTGGGTGGTTTTTTTATCCATCGCAAGGGCGGTTCCATGACGTTCAGGCCCGACACCGTTCATGACCGTGTCGCAGAGCATGCTCACAGAAAATCGCGCACAGGCGATGAGGAGGAGATGAGGTCTTAGGACAATAGCAGCCTATTGCCATAGACCTGCAAATAAAACAGTGGGCGTTTGCCTACGCTAAAGCGCAGTGGCCGCGCTTGCTCGACCTGCAACGCAGCAAACGCCCCATGACGGCCATGTGGATGGGTTTAAAGCTGCACGCTGCTGATCACCTGAGTGCCGTCATCCGGATCAGTGACACTCTCGAAACCTAGATCATGGGTCAATTGACGCATATGTGCATTGGTGGCCGCGTCCACCGTATACATGCGCGTGTAGCCATTTTTTTTCGCCGCAGCCATCAAGTGCTGCATCAGCAAGCGCGCCAGGCCCAGGTGCTGCCAGGCATCGGCCACCACCACCGCGCATTCGCACGCCTGGTCCTTGGCGGCGGCGTAGCGCGCCACGCCGATTTCCACCAGTTGGCCGTTATCGTGTACCAAGGCGATATACGCCAGGCGTTCCTGGTTATCGACGTCCATCAATTGATCGAGCAATGTCTTGCCCGGCTCGCACACCTCGCCCAGAAAACGCTGATGCCTGGACTCGCGGGACAAGCCCTTGATGAAGTTGTATTCGCGCTCGCGGTCTTCGGCGGTCAATGGGCGCACCAGGACATGGCGGCCATCGTCGAGCCGTTCGATCCAGTGTTCGTGGGGCACCGCCGCATAAACAGGCGCGGCTTGCCGGTTGAGTGCTTCAGTATTGGACATGACGGAACCTCCATGGGGTGAAATGGCCGGGTTATTCCAGCATCTCGGGTGACACCACCCACACACTGCAGGGCATGCGGTACAGCAGCGTTTCAGTGGTACTGCCCAGCAGCCGCGACAGGCCGTGATGACCGACCCGGCCCATGACGATCACGTCGATGTTGTAGGCGTCGGCGAAGCTGGACAACACCTTCGCCGGGTTGCCCAGAATCATGTGGCGTTGTTCCGGCGGGATGCCGTTACGCGCCGCCAGGTCGTTGAAGGCTTCGCCCTGGGCGGCGAACAGCTGCTTGGCCGCCTGCGACGAGAAGAACGCCGCGCCACTGCCGAACTCATACTCCTGGGCGGCCAGGTCGGACAAGTCATGGGCGTAAACCATCTGTACATCGGCCTCGCAGGCCGTCGCCAATTTGCTCGCTTCATGCAGGATGCGGTCGTTGAGGCCCTGGTAGCGGCCGTCGCGATGGAATGGATCGACCGCCGCCACGATCCTGCGTGGCAGAGCGTGATGCACGCCGTGCACAAAGTGCAGCGGTACGGGGCATTCGCGCAGCAGGTGCACATCCATCGGCGTGAACATCAAGCGCGAGAGTCGCGACTCATGGGCCAATGCCTTGATCACCAGCGCCATGGGTTCTTCCTTGAGGCGAATCAACAGCTCCTTGAGCGGATCATCGACCCAGGCCACCTCGGTAGTCACCGTCAGCCCCAGTTTGCGCAACGGCCGCGCCTGGTCTTCAAGCCATTGGTGATGGCGCTCCACATAGCCCAGACGCATCTGCTCCAGGGCCTGTTCGTTGACCAATCCAGCGGTGGCCAGACCTTCCAGGTAGTCGAACGCCAGAATATGCAAGGCGGCGCCTTCGGCCTTGGCCAACGCGGCGGCGCGCTCGAAAGCGGGGCTGTGTTCCATCAACGGTGAAACCAGCAGCAAGAAACGGGCTTGAGCAGACATGAGCGATCTCCCTTGGATTACCAGTGGCATCTAGGGTCGATCATGGTCCTGACCGTTGGGCGGCGTTTGATCTGCATCAAGTCGCCGCCACGCCGGGCGGGGCGAGCGACGTGCGGTCATAGTAGGGATCGTTGATGATAATCAACGCGGCGTGCGGCATCCTGGCACAGACTGCAAAGAGCGATGCCGGTCCGGGCGTCCATTGAAGCCGAGAGGTTGTTTATGTCCATCACGCCAGGGGTGCTGTTATGAGCCAGACCTTGGGCCTGGCCGGCGCCGCTGCGGCGCTGGGTATCGGCATGCTGGTGGGGCTTGAGCGCGAACGCCACAAGGGCGAAGGCGAGCATCGCGATTTTGCCGGGTTGCGCACCTATTCGATCACCGCATTGCTCGGTTATGTGACCCAGCAGGTCGGCGGCGCCTTGTTGTTGGGCCTGATCGCGCTGTGCCTGGCGCTGCTGGTCAGTACCGCGTACTGGAAAAGCCAGGCCAAAGACCCGGGCATCACCAGCGAAGTGGCGTTGTTCACCGTGCTGGTACTGGGCGCCCTGTGCGGCGCGGCGCCCGAGTTGGCCACGGCGATTGGGGTGGTGATGGCCGGCTTGCTGGTCTATCGGCAGAAACTGCACGAGTTCGCCCGCAGCCAACTGAGCGACGCCGAAATGCGCGACGGCCTGTTGCTGCTGGTGGTCGCGCTGGTGGTATTACCGTTGGCGCCGGACCGCTTTATCGGCCCTTATGCAGCGATCAACCCGCGCACCATCTGCACCTTGACCGTACTGCTGATGGCGGTCGGCGCCCTGGGGCATGTGGTGGTGCGGGCGTTGGGCCCGCGTTATGGCTACGCGGTCGGTGCCATTGCGTCCGGGTTCGCCTCCAGCACCGTGACCATCGCCGCCATGGGCCATATCGCCGCCAAGGAACCGCAGCAGTTGCGCACGCTGGCGGCCGCGGCGGTTTTCTCCAACCTGGCTACGGTGGCGCAGGTGGCCTTGATTCTGGGCACGGTAGAGCCGGCGTTGCTGGCGCAAATGGCCTGGCCGTTGCTGGCCGGTTTTGTCGCCATCGCGGCTTACGGCATTTGCCTGATGCTGCGCACCCCCACGTCGGCCGCCAGCGAGGCGATCAAAGTGGGCGGTGCATTCGATCTCAAACTGGCGTTGATCATGGTGCTGATGATGACCGGTATAACGTTTGTCTCATCGGCGATGCTGTATTACTTCGGCGAATGGGGCGTGATGGTCACCGCCACCCTCAGCGGCTTCGCTGACGCGCACGCGTCCACCGCCTCGATTGCCGCCCTGACCGCCAGCGGCCAATTGGCCGTGCAGGCGGCGCCGATTCCGGTGTTGCTGGCGGTCAGTTGCAATTCCCTGAGCAAGTGTCTGGTGGCCTGGGTCAGCGACGGCCGCCGCTTTGCCGGCTATGTGATTGGCGGTCAAGCATTGCTGACCGCCGCGACATGGTTGGGCCTGCTGATCGGTTGAAGCGGGTCAAAGGGGGATGTGCAACGTGGCCCGCAGCCCGCCGCCGGCACGGTTGTGCAGACGGATCTGACCGCCCAGGCGCTGGGCGATGGTGTGGACAATGGTCAAGCCCAGGCCTGCACCGTGGGCATTGCCACGGCTGTAGAAACGCTCGAACAAGCGCTCGCGGTCCTGTTCGTCGATCCCGGGGCCCTGATCGTCCACCGTCAGCTCGAACGCCGTGTCGGTTTTGTGCAACCCGACGGTAATTACACCCTGTTCCGGAGAGAAATTCGCCGCGTTGGTCACCAGGTTGGTCAGGGCGATCGCGATGGCGGCGCCGTCGGTGGTCACGGTGCAAGGCGCGTCGTCCGCGTCGAACACCAGCTCCAGGCCCTTGCTCAACAGCCAGGGCGTGAGTTGGATCAGGCTGTCGCGCACGGCGGCGGTAAGGTCCAGGGACTGTAAGGGCGGTTGCCCCGCGCTCGGCTCCAGGCGCGCCATGGTCAGCAACTGGTTGACCAGGCGGCTGGTACGGTCCACGCCAGTGATCAGGAAGGCCAGGGATTCGCGGCGTTCAGCCTCGGTGCCGGCCTCCAGCAGGTTTTGCGCATGCACCCGCAGCACCGCCAGCGGGGTACGCATTTCGTGGGCCGCATCGGCGATAAAGCGTCGCTCGCGACCTAGCAGGTCCTGTAGCTGCGCGAGCATACGGTTCAGGGCGGCCTGCATGGGTTCCAGTTCGGTGGGCAAGGGCGTCAGTTGCATCGGCTCCAGGGAGCCGGAGTGCCGGGCGCGTAACGTTGCGGCCATATCAGCCAGGGGCTTGAGCCCCCAACCGATGGCCAGCCAGACCATCATCGCCAAGATCAGGCTGCCCAGCACGTTCGGCCACAAGGTGTGGCGCACGATACGACCGACCAGGTCGGCGCGCACATCGTCGCGTTCGCCGACCCAGATGCGCAGGCCGCTGTTCTTGTCCTTGAGCAAAAAACCGCGCCATTGCCGGCCATTGAGGTCGTCCACATTGCTGTAGCCTGGCTGTTCGGGCGGAGTGGCGAACGTGGGAGCGCTGGAGGTGAACACCAGGCGTTCGCCCTGGGGGCTCCAGACCTGGAAAGCCACCTTGCTTTCGTATGGATGCCCATCGACTTTGGGGTTGGCCTCGGCCAGCGCCTTGTTGAAGGCGCGGTACAGGTCGGCTTGTTGCTCGTTCGCCAGCGGCAGGCTCATCAGGCCTTGCAGCAACCGGGCGTTTTGCGCCAGTTGCGCATCGTAGACTTCGGCAATTTCGTGGTTGCTGTCATGCAGGTTCAATGCGCTGATCAGCAAAAAACCGCCGAGCAGCAGGCCGATAATCAAGGTCAGGGTGCG